AACGGACGAATGCTCCCGGAAATGACCAGTTCTCGTTAAGCCGAAGCGTCTCACTCAAACGCATGTGATACCGCCTATTTCAACAAACATTTTTTCGCTAATTTTTACGGTTGATTGCGCCGTTATTAGGCCAGATTGTATTTGCACGACATTTAACTAAGATAATCAATTAATTCTATCGAATGATCAGACAAACAGTTGTGTATGAACCTTTCTAACTCATGCATGCCGTGAAGAACGCAGTGATCATGGCAAATTATGAGAACTTCAAGAATTTTGAGAGCCGTAAGCATACTTGTCGCAAGTGGTTCTAATAGTGTGCACAACCTTTGCAGAACATTTGTTGGTATTTGTTGTGGTTTCAAGCTGAAAACCCTTGAAACGTTTGGTGCAATCTTACAGGTTTGAATTAGGCTACCTTAATTTAAACAATCTTGTCCATACCACTTGTTTGATGGTTCGGTATGAAAAATTGAGAGAAATTGATATCGGTTCACTCGCACTTATTTAGTTCATTCCGCAATCAGGATGGAAAGTTCTGGATGTAGACGACCTGCAAGTTTATTTGGAACTGCGGGTTAATGGATTTACAAAAACTTTTATGCTGAGAAGGGTTCTCGACGGTGATTCACACACATCAATAAAATGCACATACTCAATAGCACAGGTATGGTCAATGATGCGTTCCTAATCGATTAAATGTAGCCGTTTTACTCAGAGCCAGTCACATATTTTGGACATCTCTTGCATAGTTTCACCTAGTGGAGAATGCATTTAGAACCATCAGAGTCGAAGGGTGGCACTCTGGATACATGAGAAATTGTGAGGTTTTATCAATCCCACTTGTGGTTGAAGAACTGTACAGGCATATCAAGTTGACTGATAAGTATTTCGTAAGGGAGTTTAGCTGTTGTGGTATTTTTGGAAATAAGCCGTGAGTGACTGACGAATAAAAAACAAGAATAATGGGTTGTAGTAAGGCTGTGCTGTGGTTGCTTACTCTTGTTAATCTGATGAGCTACGGTTTCGGTACCTTATTAATTTGGCGCAGAATGTAAATCTGATACCTTAGTTGTTAAGATTCTGGGACTAGAAATTTTTACCAAGAAATGAGGAACAAAAAGATATTAGTAAACTGGTGACTGGTTCTCCTGAGGATTTTTGGTGATAATCAAATGGTTAACCAAATTGTTAGTAGTATTCTTCGACAAGATACAAATAGCTGTTCTTTCCCATTCTCAATGACTCGCGTTTGGCAAGGTAACAGGTCGCCATCTGGACAAGCTAGAATGCCACCACAAGAAGACGCCGAAATAAAAAGGATAGCAACAGACGTAGCAGTTAGATCTCCTCCAAATACATTTCCGAAAGCTCCGCAGGTTTACCTTGGTAAAACGCTTGGGATTACAGACTTTTTACTACTTCAACTCCTCCAGACGGTTCATGAAGGTCAAATTTAGCCGTTCTATCAAACTGCTATCACCAAAACCCTGTGGAACGTTGCCGGCTTTTTATTAGATAATTCCAAAGAGATGCCGGTGTTCATTAGAGAAGTGGGAGTTGCCGAAACCTATCAACATCCATAGAAGTAATATATAAAAACAAATCGTTCAGCTGTAACATCTTTCCGGTGCCTAGTAGCCATGCCACTCGAAGGAAGCACGAGGGCTGGGATACCGCCAGGTTGCCCAAACCTAGACAGGGAAGTCGAGAGGCAGAGGTCGGGTTCGAACCACGGACCTTCCGGTCAGGAAATTTGTGCCCTAACCACTTGAGCCATCTCACAGAAGTAGATATGCGGAATTCGGAAAATATTGGTGTATTATGGCGTCTACTACAAACACAATCTTGCATACAAATCATGGGATATGTCCTTAATTTTTGGAAATTACATTACCAATTCTCTAAGTATAAGCTGATTGCTTCTTGGTGAGAAGACAGTCTTGGAAAACAGCTGATGACATTGACTTGAGAAAACATGAGGAGTACTCTGAGTTCTGTTTGTTGGTATCACAGTTGTTGTTTGTTCCATGGAAGGTGTAGGGGGTAAGAAGGGCTTGGAGTGTAACTCTTCTGGCAAACAAGAAGCAACTACTGCAGTACTATGGTTAGGTTGTTGGCCCACCCATCAAAATAGCTGACAACTCCCTTCCGAAGTAGAACTATAAAGTTTCAAATGATGAACTCCACAAGATCTTAGCGAAATACGCTCATTTGCATACCAATTTGCTTTTGAAAGGAGACTCACCCGGAACCCATCCAGATCTCTCGTTTATGACGTCAAAACCAAATTGGCATGCAAATGACAGTAGTATGAATAACGTATTGCGTTTAAACAATCGTATTTTTCAAAGCCAGTTTCCGATGGAGGAAACGACGGCTATCACATGCGATCTGTCATCTTCTTCATTTGACTCTACGGTTTCTTAGAATCTCCGAAGCAAGCATTAAGATTGATAGCCTATGTGCCTTACCCCTTCACGGAGGAGGTAAGTCAATATATAAATCAGATTTAACGCGGCTACTTTTAGAAAACGATATCAGCCAATGGCCTTTAAGTTGTCATTGCTCAAGGAAATTTACATTGTCGCCTGCGATAATGGCATGGCCTAAAAATACCCTTTACTGGTCCTTAGCCAAAAATAAATCGATTTGTAAGTGAAAACCATACTGCTGATAGTGACGCATCAAATCCCCTCGATTTGGTTCTATAGTCTTGGTTAACGTTAGTGACACAAACTGAGGGCTCAGACGTGCTTTCTGCACTTACTTTAATGGTTTATCTACTATCTCTTAGCTGCAAGATTATGGATAATTATATTCTATATGTATTTCTACGTCTTCTCCCTTTTCTAACAAGTATTTCAAGGAATAGACTTCACGGGTTTTGTGGTGGGAGTTTAACCTTCTTTATCAGTTTCTTTTCTGGCTTGTTCACTATCGATTGGCATAAGGTTATATTACTCAGAATATATTCGTTTTCTTATTGTTACTTGATTGCGTGCTCATATTTTTAAAGTGAACGCCTTGTAATTTATAAAGGTTTTTATAACAGCACCACAGTTCTGCAACATATATATTGTCATATATGGTGTGGTATGCGAAGGCATATGAACAACAGTAAATCACGCTGATGGTGCACAACTGTAGAGCGATTCATCCATTATTTTTTGTGTGGATCAGTGACCGTAGTTCCACATGCACTGTACCGTCAAGTCAGGTCATGGACGCACACACTACCGGTTATCGATTGAACGTCGGAGTACGCTGGATGTCTCAAAGCTCTTATTGCTGGCCGTGATTCAACATAGGCTGGCACTTGAGCACAATATGCATCATAGCAGTTGTTATCCAAGTTCGACCTGGTTGATTACAGATGAATAAAAAACGTGAAGCGTTTCAGCATAAATCCGTGCAAGACGCGGTCGACAGTGAAAAAAAATGCAAGACGCGTCGACAGTGAAAAAAAAACAAGCAACTATATGCTTAAATTTGTTGATCATTACTGAAATAGCTTTCGTGAGAGTACAATCAAGTGCAAAAACGTGATTCACAACGTTTCCTGTTATCACAATGTGTTTTGGAGAATATCTTTGGACTATGGAAATAATATTCAACTTTTTACATACATGATGAAATAAGACTAACAACTGTAGCAACAGGTTTCAAGGGCTATGTTCGAAAGCAAACAAACGCGGATTTTACAGATATAAAGTAGGTATGAGTGGAAACTCTCCCTAATTGCCTCTGGATCACGTCTTTTAATGGTCCCATTTTCAACCCAATTATCCTGATAATTTTGTACCAAAGGAAAAATCAAATACAGCGCTTACTGCAGCTTATAAGAAGTGCACTTGTTTTAACGTGTCGAAATTTCGCTTTCGGGGATCTGGGATATACATATATATACTCTGTACAAATTTAATATATCAACCGATCGGGCTGGTTGAAACGAAAATTGGTATTTTTTCTGATGCACATGTTACCGAGGAAAACAGAACATATATATCCTGAACAGGAGAGCTTGATCCGAGATTTTTCCTTAATGCGCTATTCTGTTGCTTTTCTAAGGTGGTGTGTAATATATCTCGTTGGCCGCATGGTCTACGAAAAACAACTTCCTAGATTCCATTTGAATATGAAAAACCCGTGATCTGTCAGACTTACGGGAGTTAGTTTCAACTCACTCACAGATGACGACCAAACCCACATGTAGCGAAGTTCACTGCGATGATTCCAAGCCAGTATCCGTACGGATTTCTGCTAGTTTTTGGAAATGAAGACCTCAACGTTTTTGGACAAATGTAAACAATTAATCCAGTAAAAAGAAATTTGGGAACGTATTTAGCAAGCACTAACAGCATTTCAAGTGGCCATAACAACTTAAAAGTCATTACATAACTTCAAGTTCCCACAAGACTGTCGGGTCACTTTATGCTACCATTCATCGTACTTTTTGTTTGGGGCGGTAACTTAACGATGCAAACATTACATCCTGCTGTTTTTCAACATTTGCACTGTAAACTACCAGGTACGGTATCACGGTGCAGTGTTATTAGCTAGGTATAAATGCGTAGTAGTGCAAGACATTGAAGCAAATCACCTCAGTTAAATTCTGTTCAGTGAAAGTGACGTACACCCTAGTCTCCTGGATTTGTCCAGCATTTTGCGTCGCGAACTCTATAGAAATGGTGATACTATGACAGGCCCCTTAATGCTCCGCTTAGTATTAGTGTCTCTGAGACCCATTTTACGTCTGGCGCTCCATTACCGCCTAACTAATCGCTATTACCTTCCGACATCAGAAAATGATACCGTTTTCCTTGCAATTCAGTGAACCAGCCGGAATTCCATCAGGAACCAAGTGAGATTAGCCTATCTTAAAAAGCGAAGATACTCAGGTTTCGATGCGTAATACGTTTGGTTCACTTTAACTGTCTGAGGAAGCCAGTCTGGGCCCTGGAAATAAGATTTGTTTTCCTTATTTTCGTCCATTGCAGGCGGCCAATGATTTAATCTATCCACATGTCTGGCTTGGTTTATTCTGCTACGACTTGGCTGTTCTACTGTCTCCTGGTTGGTTAGGAGCTGCATCTACCTCGGTTGACCGTATTCCACATTCGGGAACCAATGAGTCCAATACGCCAAGATTGTTTCGTTTGGTCGAATCGCTGCCGGTGATGGTGGATCTGAGGGATTTAGCATACCGTCTGGCTGATGATTCACTGATGGTGGTTGTGAAGACCGTATTTGAAGTAAGCAGGATCCCCGTTTCCGTTGTAAATATATCTGCGGAGAGTAGACTGTGATGATTCTATATCGGTAACGTATAGGAAATGTTGTCATATAGTTTGTGAATTGAACAGCCAAAAATTATAATTTTTCCACCTTCGCTTTCCAGGAACTAGCTCCATTAACGACCCCTTTCTTCCAAGATGCAGCTTTTTGTGCTGCGTCCGGTCGGTCACGGATCGTGGAAGATCAACATCCAGAACTGCGCGTCCGGCTGAACAAACTTGCTTCCTGCCTTACAAACACACTGAACCTGTGCGGAGATCTTCATGATGAACACCCGGCGTCTACTGCCTCATCTCCTTTTCATACTAGCAGCACGGACGACTCTTTCCAATCTGCAAAGCAGCGCAGTCACAGTCGCTCCCGCAACTTTGATCACAGCTTCCCTGATAGCAGTGATCGTAGTATATCTGGTGACACAGATAGCGAAAGTGGTGATCAAGGAGGCCCAGGCCACAGGTTATTGGTATCTAGGGCGAGACGCCAGTCAACGGTATTGAAGGGTCGTTCGGAGTCGAAGGGAACTGGGACGGCGCAGCGAGTGGAAGCTATTATCTGGCGGCAGTTATTAGCCTCACTGTCACACAATGCTCTGTACGAGATACTGGGTACACGTAAGTATCGGGGCTCATACTTTCCTCCATTACGCTTACCAAATCAAAACAGTCTAAATCATCTTTCGGTGGCAAGTCTATCTTAAATCTAGACAAGTGTCTACAACTGGGCCATCCACACGGAGTCAACATTGTCATTTTTTTGGTCTATAGACTGTCAAAAAATATTGTTTTAGTAGAAGTTTGCTGTATTCCGGGGTTTAACGAAAGCCCGAAGAATGAGGGTACGGAAGAAGCACTTTTTGTAAACGTCTTCCTCGTTCTCACCCTTGAAGGGTTCAACTTGACCAATCCTAACTTATCAGCAGACTCAAATTGGAGTGATCAGTTTATGAACTTGCTCCGCATAGTTGAAGTCGTCCAGTTAGGAGGGAGCAGTTTCCTTTCTTTCTCACAGACTTGTGCGAAAGTGCATGTGCTAGTAGAATTTCCTTGGTGATGATGACCAAGCTGATGTTTGTAAGTTTAACGGCGATAAAAATACATCTATTGAAGAGGCCTGCTACGGCTGATGCCACCACTTTTTAAAACCATTTTCTCTCTCATCAACCTCTCAGACGAAGCATGTTGAGTCGAGGAGAGTAAATCAGGTACCATCTACCGGCTAAAGAGTGAAATTTCGGATGTCATCGCTATTCTTGAATTTCATCACAATGATGGAGTCATAGGTGTGTGGTGTTTCTCACACTGCGTTGTTCAGATTGTGATATCACTTAAAATCTAGTTTGGGGACTACATTGTGGGCTATGGTTATCAGGCTTACATCAAATTCGCACCAGTCTAAAACAAGGAGTGGCGACAAAATGAATCACTTGAGCTGGTTCAAGCATTGTGGTGACGTTTAACCTGCACCACTTTAACACCTTTGGGACGAAGGGAGATCGGTGCATTCTGTGGCATTATACGATAGCAATCTAACCCGTTTGGTTTTTCTCGGGTAATTCCAGTCACAGTAACGTCTTATCAAGTTTCACCAACAGCAGACTGAGAGAGGTGAGACAGTTAGAGACTTGATATACTGAATGAAATACTGAAAATGGGTCATATTCAGTGGTATGAAGTTTCAGTTACTAGTTTAAATAGGTATCTTTGTGAGCAATTTATCATGACCAACAGCTTTTCTGCCTTTACCTGTTAACAGTGTTTTAGCCAGCTCCGTGCACTATCAGCTGCTGCACTGGCCAAACGATCTCTAATAATATGAAGCACGCAAGGTGGATTCGCCAGAATATCAGTTTTAGGAGTAGATTTCTTTGGAGTTTTCCTCATTCGCCATCATATTGTTATTGGATACCCTCCACTGAAGCACCTTCCACGGTGCCAAGTATTAGTAATGGATACTTCACTTTTCGGAACAACTAACAAATCTAGAGTTTTCCCGGGAAATTTTTGTTGTGTTCTCACGTTTTTAGGCAATCATCCCTTGGACTAAGCACCCATAGTTTTGGACGATACATCAACATTCAGTGTGGGCATACTATAAGTTCGATCCGGGAGTGGTTAACCCGAATCATGCTGGCGCAAACGGTTACCGTGAATCCCAATATTTCACAGCCACATAACCAAAGAAACATCGGTGAATGTGAACATGTATTCTAGGAGTTCACAGCCCAGTGCAGGGGTTCCTTGTCTTTTCACTCCTTGTATCAACCTATTCATAACGTAACTGTCCACTCCTTTTTGTATAAAAAGCCGTTCATCAGTAACGCTCTTTCAGTTCCTAGCTGCCATGCTACCCGAAGGAAGAACGAGGTTTGAGATTCTATCAGGTTTTGTACTGTAGAAGCAAGTCCTCCTGAAGAATACACAGAAGCACCCGAACTCAAGAATACCTAAGTGTGCGACCATCCCACAGTAAAGGAAGTCATTCTTTCTAGGAGCCTTATTCTACCCTTTCCAGTGGTTAACTAAAGTGATGAATTCCAGCTTACCAATGAGGTTTTTAAAGTACTCGGAAACCCTAATATTCTTGGACTGGAGTTTTCATAGAAGTTGGGAAAAGGCCTGGTAAAACGCTAGAAAATCTCTCCATTTTGTGGAGTTTTAGAAGTACCTTTAGGCAAAATCTTGCTCTATGCCAGGATATACATTATTGTTCATGTGTATGTATTGTGAAAGTGGGTTTTAACCAACTGACGAAAGAAGTATTTGCAATTTAGCTTGGTGCTAACTAGGGCCTTCATGAGATTTCTCGTTTTTGGTATACCGTAGCAGATATGCTGCACGAAGGTCAATTTACGTTTCATTCGGCACGATATCTGAGATATGACAGCATATTTTCATAACAGCACACCAAGCATGAGACTGCCGAAAACACTTCGAGGGCCCAAAATCATTCTCGAGTCTCATCACTTGGGCGTGATCCCTAAGATTGTGCCGACTTCACGTCCTACTCGGGTAACAACTTGCGCACAAATGTCAGCCTACGAGTACTTGTGGATTACAGTGGTGTTTGAGTTAGGATAACATAAACGGGCACACAAATGCAAATTGGAGCTGTTTGTATTTCACCAGCTGCATCCACTTTGGTCTTCAGGTAGGAACAAAAGTTTGATGGAAATCGATGTATTATACTTAACTCATGATGCCGAAAAATGACAAAACAGCTAGCGGGTTTTTGCAGAGCCTTCGGTATTCCCTCGATTAACTTGTTAGTGGCGTGTCCAGCCGAGAACCAAGGATGCTAGTCACAGTTTTAGGTGTTTTCGAACTTGCTCACTTGCGACTAATTAGTTTTCATAGTGATGGCGCACAGCATAGTTGTAAAGGTCCCCTCAGTGCCCATCGTGAGTACTCAAGCAGCTGCGTAGTTAGAAGCATGACAAAATTCATACTGAAAATTATTGATTTGGTAAATAAATTATCTAACGAAGTTTTATGTTATCATTTGTTTTCAAAGAGTTGTATGGCATAAACCTCACAATGCAGATGAACACTTTTTCCACGATTAACAATTTCATCCTTAGCATATGAGGAACATCTTTACTTCGCTCCGTTTCTCTGACAGCATCGTCGATGGGAGAAACATGCACACTTGTTAGACACCATTTTCTGTGGCAAAGGCTTCCAGTTGCTTGTTACAAACTTCCTCACTTGAAATTATGCACCTAAGGAACAAGCTGTTCTCAGACTTCTTTCGAACGCTATACTGGGAAATACGACATGGTGGGCAAACAGGCCCATCCGCTGATTTGGGCACACAGAGAAATGAATAGGCCACTTAGCTATGGTTAACACATTCATATGGCACTGGTGTAACATCTGATCGGTTGTAGGAATGCGGCTTTGGCATCCCTCATGCGGCCAAAATCTGACTTTCTTCTCATGATTTTTGTAAGCTAGCGTATGATGATGAAGACAGGAAGATCTAAGAATGCTTCTCACAATTAGATTTAAAATAACAAAGATCACTTGAAACTCATAGCAGTAACATATAATATGGATTTAGACTGGTTATAACTAACGTTCCCCGCTGGGAGCGTTTATATATCATAGAGAAGCACAAACAATTAATACAGGCACCACCAGATAAATACACAAACGCCCTCTGAGCAGATTAGAATAATGGACATAAGCTCTGTGACTCTTCAATCGGGAGAGATTCGAATGCTTCTGAAGTTGAGATTTCCCGTTATTGCTAATATAAGTGTAAAGTAGTAGGTGACAAAGTAAACCACAACCACCAACCCATTGCTACGCACCGCTACACTCCTTAACAACGCGCTGATGATGTCATCCCAAGTGGTGATGAAACGCTCGCAATCAAACAGCCCAGCTCAGCAAGCAAATCAAAGACCATGAACAACAACAGCAAATGGTGCTTTGAAAAGTCCTGGCGTATCTCATAGGAGATCAAATCACCGGTTCGAATCTTGTCCACATCTGAGTAAGACTCGGTCGTCACGATGAACGAACTGGTAAGCCAAATTGCTACACAAATTGCTCCACTAAGGAATTCTACGGTTGTTGTGTATGCACACACAAGACATAACTCTGGAGCGACATGCAAGGATTCACAACGGGCAAATTCCCTTTAATTTTCAACTGTGTTTAGGTTTGCAAAAGTCTGCAATCATCTGACAGCACTTCTGACAACTATGCTTTTGGCAGAGTACATGCTGACTTCTTTCACACGAGCTTTTCTCCTGTGTGTGGTGTAACCGTGTAGTAACTGCTTGTGTCGACATGTTTATGTGGGAGCCATACATATGTGGCAATCGTCCTTTACACACCCGCTTTCAACAAATGCACATCCACCACCGTATAGAAACGATAGAAGTTACAGTTATCACCTGTCGTGTTTGACTAATTCCTTCAACCCCAATGTCTATTGGCGGAAGACTTGCCAGCTGGAACCACTACAAATTTCTATCAGTTGAGTCACGATGATGGTGAAGTGAGCTTTCGGTTGCATGACCATCCGACCATCTGAAGATGTCCTACGTCGACTGACGTGTATGTGCAGTATTTCAGACAACCACTGTTTTCCACGAACGACCCCACTGCATACCTGGGTCAGACTTCACCACGAATACTTTTAGTTTGAATTCAGCCTGTACCATCTCCCTGTGTTACTAACAAACCGGGACTAGAATACCATCTTCTTCAAACCGGTGGGTCTTTCCGTACAAACCATACTCGACCTCTTTGTCACTTGTAGATACGTACAATACATGGGGTAAATTTTAGAAAGAAACCTGGAAAAAGTTAAAACCTTGGTAATTCGATAGGTATCGTAACAACATTCCCTAAGGACCACATGGCCCTTACATTCTTAGATAACCGAAGTACAGGTGAAGAAGTTATCGCCAGGAATGACATTCATTTCATATGCTTTTGGTCCAATGATGAGTTCAGTCAGCTGTAATACGTGTCAGCGGTTTGGTATCAGAGTTCAGGTTTGCCTGCTGCTTTTTGCAGAGATAAATTCTTCCAACATAGAAGCAGGTTGATAGTAAATAAGCGTTCATTGTCACTGAATTTACGAAGGAAAGATTTAGAAAAAGGCGGAGTTCTTATCAATTAGTGTCTTCTGTCAAATGACTCTACAGTTATCCAACATGTCTTGAAAAATTGCTGTCCATTGGTAACTTAACTAGCACTGACACGAGAATGTCCGAAAGTCCATAATTCACCCAGCTGACTCAGATTTGTGGTGACCGAAGTGTTTGACTAATACGATCTCTAATTCATCCCCAGCAAAGTCTGAGGTTTTGATTAACCCCGATATGAAAGGTGAACAGGATTTGGTCAAATTCTTGCAGGACTAGCACTTATGAACCTCTAGTTTGAAGTACCATTGTTTTGAACATTCTGGCCATCAAGAGATTTTCTGATGTACTTCACTTGAGTCATTTTAACTCTGAAGACTGTGTTTTAGTGGAACAGTAAGTGCGTAGAGTCCCTAGAGTGCATGCGTTTTGATTACCAAAAGGTGTGCTCCCACTACGGCTTCAGTGAGAAGCGATGAGCATGAGGTGCCCTCTTGAGATGATAGCTGATGGAAATCGTGTGTTTCCATGCGATGTATCGTGTTATTCATTTGAGGGTGCACTATACCTCGAAGTTTCGGTTCATTATTTTCATCGCGGACAGTACATAATGCACTATCGGTCAACTGTGTTGAGTTGATGGGTATGACCTACATCTGGATGTTTGAATCTTGACTATTTACTAAATCACTCGATGAAGATTTCATTTCTCAACGTCTTCGGGTTTTCCGGACGTGAAACTTTCGGTAGACAATGAGGATCTTAGCGCACTGACCTTGAAGTAATAACCATTTCAGGTGCATAGTACCTGTCTGTTTCTCTTTCAACAGGACTATGAAATTCAGACGCTTTTATGACTATTCATGAACATTATTTTTTGAAGCGGCTCAATTTCGCTACATCATTTTACTTTGCACAGCATCGATTAAAATTGACGAACACACCGGCCGTTTACTGTTATCCGGTTTCGATTGGCTGCAAACGTGGCTAAAGGATAATGGGCTAGAAATTCACAGACGACCTTTGTCAATGATAATGGAGTTTGCAAAACTGATGTCTACGCACCATGAAGACTTACTCCACGTGAGAATCAGCAACTTGTTGTTGACTTTTTCTTTCATTCTTTCTTCACGATGATTTTAACTTGCGACATATGTCCCACCCTTAAACAATAACCTAAAAAGTAAGAAACTGCGGTAGCGGTGCTAGAGTTAGTGAGGTCTGGCTTATGCTTGCCTATGATCAATTATCTATATGTACACAGACATGCCTAGATGAATTTCACTGACTACTCGTCCTTAGAACGGCCCCTGGGTGACCTCGAATAAACGGTATGAATGTCCCAAACACCTACTGAGTTTCAGTTGTTCTCAGAGCATCTATATGGCGCAGGTCGGTAGATGGGTATTGTTTTGATTAAGGTCATCAGTTCTGAACTAAAGCACCGCTTTACCCACAGTCAAAAGTACAAATGGACAACAGGGAACCCGAAAGGTCATGTCATTGGGCTACTGTAGTCTAGATGAATGGATGAATGTGAACATCCACGGTGAAATCATTGTACTTCGACTTGACCCAAATCCTTGAGATGTTTAGGGCAAAGAGAGTAGCCGAGCGGATTCACTGGCAGGAGTTGGCTTTGGGCTGGAGCGCGTGGAGTACACTGATGTAGATGTTAGTTTGAAACACTTTTGAGTGTCAACTTAAGAGAAGTTGTTTTCTTGTGAAGTGATAGAGAGCAGAAGCAAAGAAAACAGTGCGAACTCTAGCAACCCACTAATTATGAATTTCCTTCCAACCGACTTGTTCATATAGCGAAGTTTTAACGGACGAAGTTTCCCCCTGAAGTGGGAATCAATGAGTGATCTTACATCTGATTTAGGCAAACTGCAGTAATACAGCTCTCTATAACAATCAAGGCCAGTTAGCCTCCTGAAAAAAGTGGGCGGTGCCGCTATTACCTCCTTGTTGGGGACCATCATTATATCACAATCCACTCGAGAGATTCAAACCCGCAACTTTCTGGTTAGTATTTAAACAATGTGCTATATGGTCTCCAGAGACTGTTCAACGATCTGATTACCTTACCCTCAGACAGGTGGGAGCACTATTGTGTTTTCTCTGTCAGTAGTTCAGCATGTAGTAACTTCAGTTGTGAGATGGATTCACCATGAATGATTTCAGATCCTCTCACCACCTACAAAATTTTAGTAGTCTGCTCAAAAAAGGGTCAATTCTACAGGTCACAAAGCCCACCTCTAAGAGCCCGCCACCAACATCGAATTATGCGAGATGAAATGTATGGTTCAGAACTGGTTGCGGTTTGACCTGTCTAAGTGAGATTAAGTCACACCACTGATTAACTGTTCGTGACCGAAAGATATATGACTCAGCCACTAAACACTTCTATATGACTTTCCGTATTCTCAGCATATAGTAGCTTCACTTGTGTGAGAGAATTATAACCAAGATTTATATCTCTGTTCGCTTTGTGAGTGTTGACGCTTGTGCATCAAATTGCAACATCTGGGGTCCTTTTCGGTGTTTAGAACACTTTGAGATAACATGAAAGCACGTAAGGATTTGATGTTACTTCTTAAGCATACACTTGGAGCTTTTAAACCAGTTTGCCCGCGCACACTCAGATTTTTGCAGGAAACAATGACGCATTGTGCGCGAAATTCACTACTGGGAGTAAAGTTGCTATAACATCTCGGCGCCCTTCATCACTGACTTGTTGACTGACGAATCATCGGTTCGGAGCTTAATTTCGAGATTATTCTAAATCTACTGCGAGTGAGAAATTGAAATTAGAACGCTGATTCATATGAGGCATTTGACGGAAATTGATGCAACTGCTGAAACAGCCAAAAAGTGTTGCAGGTCAACTCTGTAGGACTTGTATGCTTATTCACATATAAGTTGTTCAACTGACAAGTGCATAGACAAACTTTAGTCTGAAAGTCATCAAATAAGAATTCTAGCTCAGTGGTTTGATTGAAAAGTACAGACTGACACACCCACGCTAAAAATCACACCGACTTTCCGGCCTTTTGCACAGGAGCACTCGTTTTGTCTTAGGAAACTAATCGGTGTTAAGTTACAACCCCAAAATCTTAGGTTGTCAGTTGAATTGGGACAACAAAAAGAAGCAACAAGTGTTTGGAAACTGAGATATGTAATTGCTCATCTTCTCTTTTCAGATGACCTGGACAAATATACGTTCCACTTTTCCTTCAGTACCACCAGCCCTAATTAAGTTCATGTTGGATGAGTACATGGTTGACGACGAACACATAACAAACCCTATTTGGCAAGTGGATGCGCACGATGACACTGCGGCAAATGAGGACCGTGAGTATTTGGGTGTTGATTCAGTTATCTATAACCAATAAAAACGAAATCATTTAAGGCTCGTACGTGCTGAATAGTAGCAACAGGACCAGAAAGACTAATACTTTGCATTCAAATGTCGGTTTTTCCAGAGTTTCTTAACATACTACCACTTGTGGTACCAGAACCATCGGAGGACTGAAGTTCACAAAACAAATAGATATATGTTTTGGCGAATTGGTCAAAGGTTTCGGACTACGCAACTCCAGAGAGACAAAAGACATCTATGAAAAACTGAAGTACTATTTTGGTACTATTTGGCACTTTGTGCACATTTTTGCACTTACTAGGTATCGTCGTTAAACAGCTGCCAGAAATATGGTCTCAAGGAATTTTCGCGGACTATTGCTTAAGTAAAACAAGGCAAACAGATTATTTACTGGTCACAAAACGGCTTTGTGTGCGTGAGATTTGCAACATAGACATCTAACCCGAAGTTTATTGCAACATTCCGATTCATTCTGAAGAACGAATTAAATTAGCTTGTTCAAGGCTTAGTAGGCGCCACTAAACAGTCTTACCTGCCCAGCTAACATTATTCAATTGACCCATACCACTATTCCAATCTTTTGGGTATACGTATGGAACCGATATGCCACCACTATTCAGTCAACATAATATTTTCTAGATTTATCATCCATACCTCCTTAATTTTCTCATGTGCCTGTGGGACGATTCTCATCTAGGATCAGCGCAATATGTCCGGGCATATTTTGGTCCTCAGTCATATTCATCATGACCATTTAAAATACCGAAACCGGTCTAATGCGCAAATTCAGCTTTCTACACGACCTTAATTTGCACAAGATTACCCTATAGACTACATGAACATCAGATACTGAAATGACCGTCAGACAGAGTACATATTTGTTGGTTAAAAATCCACCAACGAGTTCGCTACCATGGTTGTCACTGTACTTATTTTCATCTGCTAATCATGGGCATTCGAGTCATGTTGCTTGAAGTTTGCTAATAATTGGTGTTTCTCGTGTTCTGTCATACAATTTTTATCTTTTCCCGACCTCAAATGGGACCATAGATGGTGGAAAACGGAAAGTTCTTTCATTCATGAATTTGTTGTTTTGCAGTTATTGGACCTAAATATTCCCAGACATTCAAGGTTGAGTAGGGTGAGAAAAATAAAGCTAAAAGCCCCAGGCCTACTAAGTGAACAAAAGTTATTTGAACTGCACGTTTTTACGTTCAGTTTGAAGTTGTATCCATTTGTTTGTACTTTTTATCCACAGCACCTGATGTCATTGGGCAGATTTTACAAGGCTGGCGCTCCAAGGAGAGCGCTCAGTACCAAAACCAACATCAACGGTATGGACCGACATATAGACCAAGAGATCCATGGACTGTGTTCAAAATGCCCGAAACTGAAGAGCTGCTAAAAAGGCTGGATCAACGACTAGAAGGTAGTTGCGTTTCTCTGTTTTTTGGTCGCATTGAAAAGTGCTTATTGGGGCAAGCGTGGTAGGGTGTCTTTTACGCACACCAGAAGAAACCACTAAAACAGTAATGATATAAACCTTCACCACGATTGAAACTGAATATGATGAAAGGAATCTGGGGCCAAAATGTATGCACCTCACCTATTAGATGAATGTCAGGTGAATGAGTCTGACTTCCGGTGTATTTATATGCGAGATCATTTACTTCAGTCGGAGAACTCAGATACACAACTTTTAGTTTGAAATTAGTACATATCATCTAATCGACCAGATTGATCCAGATCCGAGGTTCCCAAAAGGATGAACTAAGGTTTGAGGTCCGCTGGATGTCTAATACGAACTGCAGAAAACAGTACGCAGGGACAAACCAGAAAACATAAGCATTGTTATTTCCGATGATTTATCAGCTACACATATTTGAGTGCCACCAGTACAGACCGTCATTTTGACCTTGAGAAAAAAAGTGAGGCATTGACTGCAAGTAAGTATCAGAGAAGCAAGCTAGATAGAGCTACCCCTACTATACAGGCTTCTTACCTGATGCTGTGAGAAGCACACCACCAACGTAAGAACTCTTAGACAGAAATAATTCTGGAGAACATTATTGAAATGTTGTCTACATTCCGTTGGTAGAAGCAGGTCAAGCACTTCCTTCATCAAGCAAACGAAAATTTAGTTGAATATGAGACTTTCCACAGTTGCCTTATGGTGCGAATAAAGATATCTGCGGATAACGCAAAAACCGGTGTTTGTCATCCGAATAAATGCAGAAGTATGTTTTTATGCCACAGATAGAGGAAAGAAGAGAAATTAAACAGCTGAAAAATATTAACCAGAAGGATGATGCGCTAACGCAAGTCTGAATAGTGGGATCTAGATAGCTAGTTCTTAATAATCCAGTGCTCTGTTTTAGTTTCTATAGTCAATAACCTTGATCAGTATTACCCTAATTTTTCAGAATTTACCGAAACTCACCGCTTTCCTTCAAGGAAGCCGATTTTAGCCACTATTACCCTTAACTATTTTGGCAACGATGCTAATGGTAACAAGTAGTTACCTTTGGCATTTCTGAATACGTGCTACAGAACATGATATTTTCAATGCATGAACTTCTGTGTGGGGTAAATGAGAAGCCAAAAATCCCCCCAAAATTGGTTAGGTAGGGGGTGCATCCTCGAGGGGCTTTTGAAACCAATGATACTTCATTAGATAAAAGTCGTCTGCATGAAGGGATTTCTCTTGCCAGGTCACAGAAACAGCATTTTTCACTAAGTTCTCTAGATACCTCCCCAGCAAGCATTTCGAATCCTGTCATCGCCTTGCAGCATGTGCACTCCGATTTCATCAGCAAATATTTCTTCCCCAATTCCTGGGAAGTAATTGTCGACCTGCGTGCAAAAACGGTGTTTCCATTTCACGTTATGGATTAGGTCTCACCATATGTCGGATTCAGGTAACTTGTAACCATCTTGTAGTTGCACATATGCCATAGATGGCAACACTATAGCCCTGTCGCTCAGTGTAATACACATCGTGGACATACATACACCCGGCCCGGGTTCCATCTCACCGCATAACATTCCGCATCCCAGATGCTAATGTTTCAGGCTTTTTGTTCCAGCCAAAAAGGTGTTAGTTATTTTTTTACACGAATCTTCCACTGATTTGTTTATCCAGACTAATATGATTAGAGAATCCCCATTTACAATCAGTAACCATTCGGAAACCATCATGTTTTCTCTTATTCTCAAACAGCACAAAAAATAGGTTTTCGCTGGACGGAACTTTTGAAACAATTTTCCCCGCTACAGGCAATCCAGGCGGCACCTGAGCCTGAAAGTATCATGATAAACCGCCCGGAAAGTCGACAGCGACGCTTAATTGTTAAGCGCAACCAAAGTCAGCATGCCACAAGCTCCTCCACTACTACCGAGGATGAAATGCACCATCGAAAAACTCCGACAACGGATATTTTATTGATGTCTCCACGTAACAGAAGAACAACAGACAGTGAATTGATGAAAGTAAAACCACCTGTAGATTCAACTCTTCCAACACTTAACAAACCTGCTCAATCCAAAGGAGAACCTACGAGAGTTTCACGTGGGCGCGGAGCTAATCAGACGGTAAGCAGCTTTAACTTCCGTGGAATAACCTGTTTCAAACCTATGTAGCTCTGGCCTAAATTTTAAGGCGCGTTGCTTGTGCCATAGCCAACTTAATAGTTTGGTGTAAAACTTGACTTATCAGCAGTTCGCTGCTGATAACATTACAAATGGTATCTTTTGTAGCTCACCTTGACACTACTTTCTTAAAGCGTCAGTGTCCAACTCCGTCCATTGAGGTATTCTAGGATGGAAATTCATGGACCCCACAGTGGAGCAACTAGTGGTGAGCTATCGGAAATCTTTCATCCGTCTTAGGAGTGGTGTGTGATCTATGTAAAGAAAGATCCTCCGTATTTTGAGTATTCGAACGAGTGACGCACACGTGGCGATGTGGTTGTATGCAAAGGACAGATTCTTTCGAGTTCCACTCTGGGACTTTTATATGCAATGAACAAACTTTTAAATTGTGATGATGCCACCAAAGATATTCTTTTAAAAACAGACTATTGGTGCTGGGTTTTACTGATCCAGAATCATTCCGGAATCCCTTACATTACGACATTCGGTTTGGTTCTTACTCGATATTGACTAATGAGTTCAACATTTGATTGTTGTCGACTTATCGATGTGCCAAAATAAATCTGGAAACATTTTAAGCAAAGAAACGTGGCAGCCGCCTCGATCTAATTTGGAGCCCGGAGCTTATCTATAATGGCCTGTGTCGCTTATGCGGTTTCTAGACTGTATCTGATGACTCCAAACTAAAAGGTTGATCCGGAGTTGGCGTAATTTGGTCGGTTAGCTCGGAATCTGAGTTGCTTTGTGATATCATTTCATTGCATTTGATTGATTCGTTGGGAGCTTTCATTTCGTTAGTTCTGCATCTCTGTTATAATCATACAGTTTTCTTTTTGTCTTTTGGTCTGATTTCGTTCCGCTTGATTAACTGATTGGATAGCTTTCCATTTTCAGTGGCTTCCTTTCCTTGCACTGATTGGCTCACTGGTTGTCGTTAGGCTTTGATTTCCCATGTGTTTCAGAGTCCCACACCTGAATACATTATTGTCGCAGGACCGAAAGTGTACCATTTTTTTGCCTCATGATGGCCATGCTAGGGAAATTCACCGTCCGCTACATAAGGGGGAATTCTTCATATGGACATCCAAACCATGGAAGGGATTTGGCTGACGAACAGCTTTCTGAATTATTTGGTTTCTCTTTGCCTAACCCACTGGGTAAATGCTTGAAGCACTGAATATCCTCCCCATTAAGAGTAAATAACCATTTACAGCTAATGCATTTTTTTGATGGGGTCGAATCCTGTAACCTGAGTTGTGTGTCCATCACTTAGCCCTTGCCAGTGAATCTAAAATGACCTCCCACAGAGCCCTCATTGTGCACTAATCGCCAACCGATCATGGTGAAAGCCAATGTTTCCAACTTCTGTGGTCAACTGTTTGCAATTGTCTACAGTCGGTCAAGGGTTTTTTACAATCACCTTTTCTATTTATTCCAGGGTATACACCATCCCAAGAGGTCAGCGAATAAGTCTCCTCGGCCCCATTTGCATCAGACTTACTCAATATTACTTGAAACGACTGGGTGGAAACAAAACGTTTGGGTTCCTTCCCCCCCCCCATGAATACGAAGCTTGTTAAGGGTACTCTTCCAGGTGAAGAAGATTGCTCAGGAGGTTTTCATTTGATTTCCACATGTGCTGAATAGTTAGGAAGCTGATTGTCAGTGGCGAATTAGTTAACGGTTCCTGAGTTCTCCTAATCGGCATAAGAGATCTGCTATTTGTCAAATAGTAGGATTGAAATTTATACAAGGGATAATTATGGAGCACAAAGAGTCAGCTCTGGAAAAACGGAAAAACAGGCCTTTGTTGTTGAAAGAGACTCATCAGGTCGATGAATAAGTAGTTGGACACGTGAATTTCAAGTCTTAAGCAGCAAACTGCCACCAAACTTTCGCGTACTGATGGCGTATGTGAAAACAAAAGCTGTCTTCTTGATGTCAACATTTGTTAAAGGAGTCTGACTCTTCATGAATAATCAGTTGACAGTCAATGGGTAGTAAATTTGCTAGTATGCGGAGATCCCAGAATTTCGAACTAAGGTTTCACTCTATTGGTGGAGCCAATCTATACCGAAAATCAGGAGATGCTGTATCAGATATCTTCTCTTTATTAGGTAATATCAACGGTGGTAACTAAGCTGTCTGATCATGATCGGCTAGGCAGCAATGTGTTTAATAACGTGCGACTTTCAACCTCCTTGGTTATCTTTGAGATGCACACTACTGAGTCTTTTTAATGAGAACGAGGTAGCTGAACACTGCTTCCAGGCCTTCTGATATAAGTAAACTTCACTTACGGGGCAAAATCTCCATTGAAAAAACACTGAAATTTTATCAAAGTGGCTTCTGTACGAAAAATAGTATTGCAGCTCTAGCGCCGGTAGGTTGTGTAGCCTGCTGTTCTCCCACAGAAGGGTAAATTATCATGACAGTCAATAGAGCAACAGGAAATTTTTCCAGAGGTACCACCTAAACTTACAATTGCCCAAAGTGAACCCGATGCTCCTGATGTTTTTGACCTGCGAGATCACTGAATCCTGGTTTGGCTCATATATATTTAACATCTGGAGGAAACAGTCAATACTAAGGCACGTAATGTAAGTAATGCCACTGTAGGACAACGGCCTTGTATATCCTCGGGTGCCGGTCAAGCGCAGTGCTCATCAACCAATCTTGATCCAACAGTAGCGTCTTCTGTTCCTTACCAAGAAACCGATCTTTTTGAATCTGCCGAGTACTCTTTAGATGTGCTCTGCTTAGGGTTTCCGTTAAGGATGAAACGGCCGTACAGTGCTTCTTGGCTTCTAATATCCTATGATCACAGCTGCCAAATGAGACCGCGACCTGTAATGATAAGTAAGTTGGAAACTGGAAGTTGCAAAAAGTAGTACTTTGGGTAAGCACCCTTTAGTACGGATGAATACCGTCAAATAATATGTATGCTATTTTCATTTACTTACAGCGCACTTCCCTTGATGCCGTCTTGCAAGAAATCCCGCCCGACGCACGTGAAGATGCCGTCTACCATCTCAATCAACTTCTGTCTTCGCTATCCAAGTCCGATATGAGAAAGCTTATGCAGACAAACGGGCGCCCTGAAAGCGCAGTTGACCGCGCAAAAAGTTCCGCGCGCGGAACACGAAAACGAAATAAGCTGTGCGAGAGTCAACCAAATATGAACTCACTGTTTGAACAAGGCGATGAGGAGCCTCTGGCTACAAACGGGCAGTTGCCAGCAAGTATTGCCGCTCGTTCACCCGTATTCACCCAGTCCAATAGATTTTTCAATCAAGCTTCTTCGACTAACAAATTGGCAAAAAGTATGCTGCAGCTGCCATTAGGAGAAAACGAGGAAAGTCATTTGAATGCACCGGATCCTAATGAGCTACTTCTTGTCAGTAAAGATTATGAACAGTTTCGAATGTCAACCATTGGAAAGGGAATGAGCAAACTAAGAGATCCCTTACAGCAATTTGGGCTTAACAATCCCCTTCGACCACAAGTTAGCGGAAGTCTGGGAAATTTGTCAGTGCCTCAAATGTGGATTCAAGGCTCTCGGGATGCAAGTTCTATTTCAGGAGCGGAATCCGTAAGTGATCGATTGCAGCACGGATTGTACCGAGATGACGATTTGGTAAATGTTGCGTCACGCGTTCAGCAAGGTTACACCGTCGTCAATGTAACTCTCACGCGAACAGCTGATACTGGCTTTGGCTTGGTGCTTGTGGATGGCGAGGTAAGTTCCTAACTGTTCGGGATGAATTACTCATATACGCCCCATGCATAACTCTGAATGTACTTTGTGGTACCCCGAGAGTCTTGTTGTTAGCTTATAATCATGTCGTGTTCTGCTTAGCACGCACAAGTATGAGACATAAAAAATACATTTAGAAATGAGAAGGAGCACCTTAAAAATACCATACGCTGTGCTTTAAGTCATGAATGCAATGAGCAATAATTTGATACATAAGCCGCATTTACTTGGTTTCCTTTATGAACAAAAATGCTGCGCAGAGATTCATACCCCTTCTACGTTATGAATAGGGCACTCTGGTAGAACCAAACGCAGCAACCGACGCAGATTTTGGAAATTTAAATATTTATGAGGCCATTTCTGGAATTTTAAATTGAGGATATTTTAAAGAGAACCGCTGTTCACTACATATTTCAGATTTCCTCCACTAGACACTGTATCGTTTATTTTACGTTGCCTTACGGGCGAACTTGAAGACCTGATTCAGAAACAGGACTGTGACAGGGAAGAGGATGTGTGGACTACATCTTCAAACTCCAAGTGTTATAACGACAGCATACAAAGAGGCGTCATAAGTTCTTGATGTTTAGTTTTAGATGGTTAGAGGATTCATGGAGTTCATAATAAAATTACCGCCATTTGAGCAGTCCTCCTCTTGTGCTTGTTTAGTTGTTCTGGTGATTCCAGCCGAAAAAGGGATGCACTAAACTATACTTTCTCCGTACTATACTACTGCTCCACTTGCTCGATACTTTCTCAGCAATGCGTGCTTTTCACTCAGGAATGGGGACTGCAGACAACTGGTATGTGGAGCGGGCGTGCTACTACTGTTTCACCAGCGCACATTGCGCATCGATGCATACTGCAGAAATGTGTGAATATCACACGCTGTTTGTATGCGCAAACTTGTGGGCGCTTGAAATTGTACCGATAGTTCTCGGAAACATTTTCACAAGCCATGATATTTGACAAAGGTGCCCACCCTCTCCATTATCGTTTGACATCACCGTTGATGAGTGAAGGAGACAGATTCTAGAGAGTCTCCGATATCTCCATGTTCAGATCTATCCGAGCCAGAGTCTCCTTAGATTGAAATATGTAGACCATAATATTGCCATTTTTGAAAGAAGAAATGGAAGAGCAAGCTTTGCTAGAAGTGCTGATTGATGTCGTCCAGTTCTCTAACATATAATCCGCGCTCTCAAAGTACAAAATCATTCTGCCAGACTCGGCCAGTTTGGACATGCCTCTTAAAATCTTAGAAGGGAAACTGAATGTTATGGAATACTTATCTTGGGATTTGCGTTGATCCTGACGGTAGTGCAACAGACGAATTAAACGTCCAAATCTCAAAGGTCGTATTCGCGTTTGCCGATTTGCACCAATTGTGTCTTCGAAAAACCGCACGATTGGGTCTCAAAGGATGCCTGCATTGGATTAAATGTAAACTGCATTGTTGAGTGGCTTGAAGTCTTTGTCATGAAGGTTGTGGGATCGGGGGTATCTTCGAGTCTTTGAACACGGATGCCTCAAAAACTATCATCGAAACCAGCCTGCACCTGTGGATTGGCAATAAGTTGATCAGTTAACGGGTCTATGGTCAAGCAGAATGGAATCCACCCAAGAAGTGCGTGCAGCACTGCAAACTGAAGTGGCTAGATCACGCGATGTGCATGCCAAGTTACTATCTGTTGAGAAGGGCGCTGTATTTCATGCCTAATTTAGGGTGTAGGAGTTCTAGAGACGGAGAGATTATGATACAACTAGAAATCTGAGTGCTTTCGATTCTGCTCGCCCTCCACAATGGGACCAACAACACCTTTCTTCTGCTTGGCGGAAAAAATGAAATATATAGTGACAGTCCCACATCAATGGCATATATACCATCAGCTTCTCCACACCTGGACTGAATGTGTGATGTAAAGGCTCCTGAAGAATTGTGATGCGCTGACCGCAATTAACCTTTTGGTCACCATCAAACAGCTTTACTCAAATGGATTGTCATGGCTATGAGATGGTGAAGCACCGGTATCCCTTTGGTGTTGCCGCCTGCTGATGAGGATGACACTGATTAATTTATTTAAGTACAGCTACACAATCGGTTACCTATAGATTTTGCAGCACAATGATTATTCGAGGGAGACCGGTCTTAGAGAACGCTGTACATGATTTCAATTGGAAGGGTGCTAATTATGAGGATGGGAGAATTCAATGAATCAGGTTTTCAGGTGCTGTTACGTGCAATAATTTTAAATCATAACGTAAATTGGTAACGATATGTATAGTTTGATAATCGTGTATTATGGGAGCTTGGTAAGTGAGCGCTATACAAGGAACTTAACGCGTTTGTGCTTCAAATAGTGAGAGTAATCATGTGCCGTAGAGGGTGGATAATTTACCTTCAAGCTCAAAGAAACATTTGGGAACGTACCATGACGTTGGGATCAGTCAGGCGCTAATATCAGTGTACAAACGTGGTCAACGAATACGGCATCCTCCTCATTTGGATAAGATTTGCCACTACAGGCATGTGGAGTGCTGTTGAATGTGTGATCAAGATGTTTCTGTTAAAAAGCATCTATTCTTAGCCAGATATAGAGTGAGCATGGAATAATAGTTTTACTGACGCTTCTTCCCCGATGAAAATAGATTTAATAGATGTTCACACTGTCAACGCAGGCTTGATGAATAACCAGAAGGAATTAAACGTAAATAAGTAAGAACTATTATTTTATACGGCTTTAACTCTATCCCAGTTTAACTCCGGTCAGCACTCCGTATTTCGTAAGCTTACGTGATATACGCAACAAAAATTATTATGGTGCCCGACAAAATTGGCTATAGAATCGTTAGCGCGCCGAGTATTTCCGCCAGGGTAACAACAGATCCGGATCATAGTAATCGTTCTAGTTTGACCATTTAACAGTCTAAGTGATAGAGATAAAATTTGTTAAGTTCCTCAGTACAACTCAACTGAACGATAATCACAGACGCCTGCAAACAGTCCGCCGTTGTGCCACTAGTTCCCTGGAAATGACTCTATGAGCCTAGAAGCTAATCAATCTCAGGTTATTTAACTTTTCCAACTTGGCACTTTGAAGCTCAATGAAATCACCCTGTGCGGAGATTTTAATCAAGACTCTACTTCTAATACAGCGTCTTTTTTACCATTTTGTCTTTCCTGAAGCGCACCTCTCTTGACCAGCCTGGTGTGTTCGTCAAGTCAACCACTGCAAACAGTGCAGCATCAGAGAAGGGAGAAATCAAGTTTGGAGATCAGATACTCGCAATAAACGGTCAAGATTTGACCCAGAAAACTTATTCAGAGTGAGTTGATACCCATGTGATAGAGGTTTCTGACATAACACGTCCCAGTATTTTCTCTGCTCTCTGGTCGTTCATATCTATGCGCTGTTTGCGTTATTTCTGTGCATATGTTCTGTTATTGTATAGACATTTGTGTGTGCTAACAGAATAAACAGCCACGATTATCAACTTTCGATCGATAAGGACCTTAATTTTCATCAACCTGCCTACCAGACTGTGATCATTTGCTCCAACATACATCCCTCAAAGTAGAACACGTGGCCAACATGCACGAAACTAGGTCATGCAGAATACCCTCACTTAGCACAAGCTCTAATGGCGTGCACTGCTGCATATGACGAGTATGTGAACTTCAGGCTAATGTAATCAGCGGTTTCATTTTGAGATGTGTGTACTGAATATCAGTGAGTTTACTGAAAAGGCTGTTCCTTTTGACAGTAAACAGCGCTATTATTCTTGAAAGTATTTACCACACGCTTCGTTCCAGCAGTGAACCCTCCATGCCACCATGCACATAGTTAACGATAGATAGGAACATTTACGGGCCAGATGTTTTCAGTCATACAAAAATAGCCTATTAGATATTGGGCTGTAAATGAGCCTTATTAGTTGTCTGCTATGGAGCTTCCGCCTGATAAGCTTCGTTCTTAGCACTCAACTGATGTATCGTAAGCCTCTAAATCAGTTTATGATACCAGCCAAGCTGTGCGAATTGTCTTGTCCTGTGTCTAATATGATGTAGTTTTGTAAGGCGCATCTCCATGGCGCAAGAGGCATGGTTTTAAACCCCTATAATTTGAATGATTGCCGGTCTATTTTTTTCTCGGCCGAAAACTTTACCTTCCTCGTAGGGTTCAGCACACTGGTGTAACGTGATTGATCTGGAGGAATGAGAGGGCAACAACCCGAAATAGGTTCAGGTGCAAGGAGAAGGAACCATGTCATTCTGGACCGCCTTTTGGTTCATCCATTTTTTTGCTGGTGTCTTTTATGTTCTGGTATTCAATGATTATACCTATCGTCATTGAAATCTTAAAAATCAGGTTTCAGTGACTAACTTTCGAGGATCAGTACAGACTCTCCTTATTCTAGCGTCTTGTTTTTCTGGGGGAAAATGACAGAAAGTGGGACTGATATCTTGACGGAGTGGAGCCTATTCAAAGCGGGGATAAATTTTTCAGTGAATTCGTGCTGTGTCAGTATATCCGAAGTTGCAGAGGGAGAATGATGTGGTTTGCCGGAGCACTATTGGAATTATCTAGTGGGCGATATGAGCATTTTATATACCCTAGGTTTTGCCACTGCGGTTAACTCTTTGAGCGCTCCATTCCAAATGAAATGGCATATTCGCTTAGCGTTACGCGTGCTTTTTGAAGGAAGTTTGTTGCATCATAGACTGCTTGGTGATTTCTGTCACAATAATCGCCGTCCAAGGAAATATCTGAACAACCCACTAGTGCCACTGAAAAATTGTTTAAGTCTTACTGCTACGCCTATCTACGCAAAAAGCCGACGGTAGTAGACTGCCGTTCTGCGATGAACTGATAAATCCTTGCCCGTTGATCCCCAACCAGCAATCCGTTTTTTCTTTAAGAATAATGTTACAACGATTGTCACTTGCACGTTTTCCTCGCAGTAGAGCCGGACTAGTTAACTCTTATAACTACTTCACCTGCACACATTGACCGATCCATCCGCTAGGTATGACGAAACGAACAGAAATGTTCCGCAGTTAAATTCTGGGTGGTCGATCGATGAACCTTTTGGCTGTCAGTGAATATTTAAATTCTTTGACCAAAATCGTGATGTGAGTTGTCTGCAGTGATTCATGAAATCCAGTAACATGATTAATAATAGAAGAGGTGCGGTCATCAGAGACTTACCATCAGCTATTAGGCACCAGATCACCTATGACGAAACTTGTGACGAAATTGAGCCCGGTATAACGTCGGAAATAGTATGAGTGCACTCTGTCGATCAGTTGATGACGCAAGGTTATGGCGCCGTCATAACGATTGACGGTTCAACACATGTGTACTGTATTAATATTCATCCCAAAAGGAAGTCGATTCACATGCGTAAGACTGATAGCCACACTGAAAAAGCGATTGCACAATTAGATCTAAGGACAAGTTAAAAAATTACCTTTGAACCGAAACTTTTTCGGTTTTACGATCAATGGGATTATTCTCTTGCTGCACTGACTTTTTTCTTTTTTAAATTCTTCTAAACTGGAACATTTTATTTCTAATTTGCCTTCACATCTATTTTAATGAATTTGGAAACTCACATTTCGACTCACCTGCTTTATGCGTTTGAGCGCATTGCTCGCAAAGTCTCTCTTCGTGTAATGGAGACTACACAGTGAACTCCAACCAGAAAGTCTGTCAGTATAATTCCCTTTTTGCTACGCATAGTTTCCACTACTCAGTCAAGCTACCACCTAATACACCATCTCTAGAAGATTAGAGAAGCTTAGCGACGGCACTCACCGTAATCAGGATCGCAGCGCACAAAATGTTATACCTCGCGCCTTGCATAGATAATGCAATTACTCCAATAACATGTGGGAATTGTTGGCTATAGTTGTACATTCTATAAGTCTGAGAAATCCTAGTATTCTTTCTCATGAGAGTCCACTTTCGTTCTGTTCACCTAGAGCACTGAAGCTATTGAAAGACTGCAAACTGCAAGCTACCTTTACCATCAGACGTTGCAACCTGGATGACCCGAGTTTGTTGTTGGTTCCGAAAATCAATCCGTTGCCAGCTGGGCGACACTGAATGAAGGTTGACATCCCTTTGTGTATTGTTCCGGTCCCTCGCTGTCTCTGTGAAATCTGGCAACTAGCCTTCGGCTGTGAATTTTCGATTACCCCAATTGGCCGGTTGTTTCCAGACTTCCCACAAGTCCCATCGGATGCAAGAACTATTTTTGCTGCTCACTAGCCATCGTTCTTGTTTGCGCAATTTTCCTTCTTTGCACATATCTTATACTGAGTTGACACAGATGATGTATTATCCACATGCAATTTGCTGGGACCCTTGTAGCAACTTTGTCTACAAATTTGGCCTTTTTAATCGATCACTCTTCCATCAGATTTTTTCAGAGCCGTGTTATCTCTTTTTATGTGCGCTTAATATAAAACAACTAAGGTGAGACGGTCTTAGCGAAAATTCCGTCTCGTCTTTTTTGAGGCATATCACACACTCGGCATTAGGCTTTCAGTATCCCGTGTTGAATTTTTGGAGTTGTTTGAGAGGAACTATTGCCACTGAGATATTTCTTGATAAGAATAATATGGGCAACTTTGAGGAAATGAGTAGCACAGCATCGTACTATCCAATGCCCATAGTTATTAGTTTTCGTTAGTACCGTATTCATTAAAAATCTACCGGGTCTAAAAGATTGCAGGACTGCATACAGCATCATGATATGTTGACTTGTTATAATGCGTTTGTTGCAAAACAGCTGAAGTGCAGAACATAGTATTCACCTCTGAGGGAGATCATTCGGTCAAAGCATTCGCACTGCTATACATTGCATCGTTATTTTGGCTGCAGGCGCACAGGCAAGCACTCACTTTAGTAGCCACTGTATGAACTATTTTGTGTTGTGTACATTGTTTAGTGTACATTATGGTTTAATATTTCTGAGGGATGGGCTGTTGTAAAGTCCAGATTATAGCGGTTGGTAGTTCTGTGATACCCCCTCGGGCACATATTGTTATCTGCGTGCGATATGACGCAAATCGTGCCGCAGGCTTATCCGCTGACTGACGAACCCAGTCACAAATATGGCTTAAATTTACCCGACTTAACACTACTTGTAGAAGATTGCTAAAAAGTCTGACATCTCAGCACCAGTCCTACTCAACTTGAGCCACATCAAATAGATAGTCTCCAAGTTTTCCCACTTGAGTAGAATTATTCACTCATTTGGAAATTAATCCAATATTAAGGGGAACACAAATCAACACATTTTGATCACCTCGGTAAATCTGCCACCCTCACCCGGAAAGGAGCAATCGGATGCTCAGATCATGGATATATTTTCAGATCTACTGATGATTAGTTCGTGGTCTTCTGAGGGAGAGTGCGAATTTTGAAAGACAAATAAAAAGTACACAGTTGATGAGAAGCTGGAGAGTTTAACTATCTCATTCATCACCGGCTCAGAATTTTGTGATCTCTTTGAGAGGGAAGACAGCTAACAGGGCGCGGATCCTCATTTGCTAAATTCACCACTCAAGATGCAACAAGACGCGAAATTCCACGGCATGGTATTAACGGATATCACCTTCATATATAGTCCTAATAATCATCTCAGGCTCAATAACCCGTCTAAAAAGGTACTTGATCCCCACATAAGCCTCATAGTTTAGCATACAGGAATAACGTAATCTGACCAAGATAAGTGTTTCAAGGCTTATGAAGAACGCGCAAGTAACTTTAAAAACAACGCTGTAGCAAACATTATCACTCGAAAGGGATAACTTTGCCGTTCCAAAATACCGGTGCTGGGAGAGAGGACTTAATTAGCAAGAAAACCTCACACGTGACTTATTATTTTTACTTTCATTCAAATTAGGCATATCATTTGATCGGGTAGTTTGAAAATGTGCTAACAGAAATTCAGGGGACTAGCAGTGAAAAGCAGAAGCGCCCGCAGTGGCCTCAGAAACAAAGTCAACGAAACAAACCACTGCAGTCTTCTGGAGTCGGTCGGGAGTCGTCAGTATTGCACAGAAAATAAGGACCGTAAAATGTGAAAGGGAACCCACGGAGATTTCGGTTTATTGGCTCTGTAGGTAGTCAGCTTGAGCGTACTACTGTCTATCACTTTGTTTCTGGACCATATTGATTTTGGAACATATTTGTACATCAGGACGTCTTGGCAAAGTGTATGAGCTGAGGTTAACGTTTGATTTATCCAGAATGATGTAGATTATTCCCCCGGCGCCTGTGATACGAGCAATATGGCTTGTAGCTCTCACAACACTAGTTATATGCATTTGTGAGCTGGCGAATAAAATCGCTGACTTCACCTGGTCTGGTCAATGACTCTTCTCTAAGAAATACTAAAGGAATCGTTTGAGACCCAGTTTCTTTTGAGCTCTGACCAACAATATCTTACTTTTCGCACCAGATGTTCGATGGGATTTCAGTGAAAGCATCGTTTGCGCCTGTTGTGTTTTAAAAGAGCAAGAATATTCATATTCTCAAGTTTGACACATATTATAGTAGCGGCAAAAACTGATCACACCAAGAAAATGATAGAATTACTGGCTGATGAGCTGAAGCTCAGCAGAATATATCCCCTCGAGATGTTACAACTTACACAAGTCAATTTAAGCATCATACTTGATTGAAATCATAATGCAACTTTTCTGCAGCAATCAAAAGTACATAAGAATAATTCGCCAATGGAACTGATTTTTGTTCAGGTGGCTATTGGCCTGTTCAAGGAGTTTTGCGATTAACTTGCCAACCTTTGGTTACCAAACGCTTACAGATTAATAACCACCTGATCAGCATCCAATGAGCTCACCTAGGTCATCAATATTTTTTGATGCATCAGCAACCTTAGGTATGTTGTAGTTTCCATTTCAAGCGCTTACTGAATGGTTGGCTGGAAGAGAGGGACCTATTGCACGCCAATTTACTAAATATAACCTCGGTAGTACTATCCAGTTTGTTGACGTGTGAAAGATCGCGAATGTTTTCGCTTGATGTGATGTCACGGGCATCAGGGTCTCACACATGCGTATCTTATCGTGGCTAACACCTATTCAACTCTGACATCGCAATTGATGATTTCGAGCAGTTATTGACTGTATGTACATATAATATAATATGCCATTTATAACATATACAATAAACAGCGATACAATACAGCTCCCTGAGGATGATTAGAATATTCATAAGCAGTTTTCAGCGCCATGAAACCTAGAGAAGTTTGTCCCGTATGTGCTTTCCGTCGAAGATTGTATGAACACTTCTGCAGCTTCAATCAGTGCCGATGCACCTCCAATAACATGCAGACAAATAAAAAGAAAACAAAGTTCTTTATAAATGGCGCGGATCTGTACTTCAAAGCACCAGAGCCTTTGAGCGTTTCCAAGTCACTAGCGGGCCCCGGTGGCTGTGCTCTACCACAGATCCTGATTTGCGCACAGCACGCATTCAGATGGTGCAGTCACCGCAAAAACAGTACTACAGTGTTCAGTGTAAACATCCCTGTCACGGTGTTAGTGTAATAAAGTGGGGGTATTGTAGTGCGTGTAGTCTGTGGCGAAAGATGCTTGCGCCCCTGTTCACCTCTGATTCACATAATGCAGGCTCAGGCAAGAAGTGGAGGAAACAAGGGTAAAAGAAAGCATGGTGAGCGGATTTATCGTATATACTGTATATTATCACTTCGGCTCCGCATAGCCTCGAAACATGACCTAGAATTTATGATATCCACTCAGTAATTGCTTAGTTCATTGCCTGAAACTTTCAAGGTCCCACCTGTCGTTGTTCTAACCTCCAAACTCCATTAATGGTACGGATTCAAATTTGACACAAATATACTGTAATGCTCATTTACTCTATATTGTTCTACAGCATTTATCCCAACATAGTAATCATTTTGGGCTGATCCCGATGATTTCATCTCTGCTGGTGATAAAACTTTTTTTACTCAAAGTACATAGCTCGGTGACCAGAAAAACTGCAAGAGCGGTCACTAGAAGAGAAGCCCCAAACTAACAGTGATGGAATGCTCGGGATGTAGTGGAGTTCAGTGTGAAGATGACTGGTTTACTTCTTTTGAATTCAAGGCTTCTAACATACTTAAATAAACCTAAAGGTTGTACGGGGGTCAAGCATCAATGTCGGCGTTTATTTTGATCTATGTGATGATGGCAGTAGAAGTTCGGTCCAAAAGTTTCTTGCAAAATGTTTGTAGGTGGATAACCACACCTCTCTTAATCATAAAAGTTTCTTCTGCCATCCGCCATTAAACCACAAATTTGACTCTTATAAGCCTTTTATTTTAGCATGTTTATGCTATTATTTGAAGATAAAACATACCTTTGTCTTTTCTGGCGTACCGCGGATGGATGTCAGGCGCACATCAACATAGCATTCAGGATCGCCTCGCTGATAAGCACCAGAGTTTGCAAGGTACTCGTCACATTAGTGGACTCATCATCATCAGATATAAGCCTTTTATTTTAGCATGTTTATGCTATTATTTGAAGATAAAACATACCTTTGTCTTTTCTGGCGTACCGCGGATGGATGTCAGGCGCACATCAACATAGCATTCAGGATCGCCTCGCTGATAAGCACCAGAGTTTGCAAGGTACTCGTCACATTAGTGGACTCATCATCATCAGAGTTGGTTACGAGAATTCTCAGTTATTTGTACTCTTGCACATTATTCTAGTCAGTGCTGTTTTCAAGTGACTGCTGCCGTTTTGGCTGACTGTCTGATTGTCTGGATCTGCTTGTCCCGAAGTTAGCTGGGCATATGTACACTCATGAACAGCAAAAACAGAATTTCATGTCAAAGCGACCTTAGCATTTTGCCATCATTTGGGTCGTTCTTCGTGCTACGCACAACCTGGATAGTGCCTTTCACTCGGAATGTATGAAGCAAAGAGAAGAACGAACGTGTGAGAGCCAATAGTATGTTAATCTGACGAAACCTTAGCGAAGCTAAATAAGTTGTGCAATTAGAAGCGAGATGATCGTGTCTCATTGGCAGGGTTGCACATGCCGAATAATCGATAGGTGCGGATAGCGTAGAGAATTTCACCATATAGCGCGATCGAACAAATAGACAGACGCATGCCGCTGCAGAGAGCAAACGAAAATCGAACGTTGTTAAAATCTACACTTTTCCTTACTAACGTATTTCAAGTTCCCTGATTTAATATTTATTCTCATGAAGAACTCAGCTGTGAGCATATCATGGAGGAAGTGCCTCATAGCATGCTCTCTTTCAAGCTAACTTTCCAGGCTTTACTTCTCTGTTTTTTGCCATTTTCCGGAATTGCAACTCTGAGTAGTTTATTAATGTATATACTAATCGATAGGCTTATGACGTGAAATGCTGTTCTATGTCACGCGTTTTT